CCTCTTGTTTTAAGAACCAACAGACAGAATATGATGTGATCATTTTTCCAACCTTTAAGCTGCTAAGGGGAAAACTTGATGTTAAGGGATTAAAAATGATAAATACAGTTGTGTAGTGAGTAATTGCAGAGATTTAAATGTAATTGCCTTAAGTGTCAAAACAAATGTCTTCCACATAGACTTCCATATTACCAAGAAATGATTGATGCAGTCAGATGGCGGTGTATGTCCATGGGCTTGTTTGCTACCTCTGATGGATCCTGTGATCTCTGCACTCCCCCTCTCTCTTCCTGGTGGTTTTTAAAAGTCTTCCTGTGACCCTTCAGCCTCACAGATACATATAGCTTATATATATATATGTATACATATATGTGAAGATGACTGGAACTACTTTGTATGTGTACGTGAACATTACGGCTATACAACAGTAACCGAGCTTTTTCTCTGTAATGGAGCGTTGTTTTGTTTTAACTTCCTATGTTCACATACTGTAGGCTAAGGCTAAAGTCTGTCCATCAACAGCTGCTTTTACCTGCTCAATTAGCTCTGCTGTGGTAAAATGCACTTGTTAAAAACACAATCTTCAGTTAGTACAGCACAGGCTGCGGTCCAAATGAAACATGAAAGGTTCTCCTCTTCACACTCCTGACACTGCAGTTGTTATAGGTAGCTGGTTGTCAGCGGGTGTGTGGGGCCACAGTCGCTTCAACCACCTAATTGGGATCCAGGAAGACAAGGTGCGTTGTGCTCCAGCAGGGCTTGAGTGTGGAAATAATTGCTGTGGTCCATGTCCCTCAGCTCTGAAGTCTTTCTGTGAGATGGTCTGTGCTGAAGGATTATTTGCTCCATCATTATAGTTAACATTACTGTGTACTCTAATGTACAGATCAGTGTTTTTTCTCAGCTATATCCCTCTACGCATCGGTCTGATTATATTGACGATAAACCCTTTTTATATATAGACTATGGAAAAAACAAATGTTCCAAGATAAATTTGGATGTTTCTTAAAGCTGTCTCATTGCTTCCTGCTTCCTTTCACTCTGCGTCAGATAATTGACCTCTCCAGCTCTCGCAGCAGTGCATGAAGCCTCGTGCGCAACTTGTTGCTCATCCAACAGGAAAAAACAAACGGAGCGGAAACAGCCGCCTGTAATGACCTGTTCTACCTGTTTCTCTGTGTCCAAATAGTCTCCCAGCTGATTACAACTGCTCCCCCAACACTTCACCTACTCACTCTTCACTACAGCAATATGATGAAATTTCTGGCTGTGTACATATTTAAACATCAGTTTTCAGCCTTTTTTTTTTAAAAGTCATTTGCATGAGAAACATTCATCAAGGTTTAACAACTCTCTAACTTGGGACATCAGTTCTGCTAATATCAATTCTATGACCTGTTTCTTATTAATGGGGAACGGCACAAATTTTCCACATCGTAGTCTGTTTACAGGTCTTGGGGAGTACTACTTGAAAAAAGTTGCTTAAAGTTTTAAATTTTGCAGTTCCAGAGGGGGCTGTGTAAAAGTAGCCTCAAGTGATGTCACTTGAGTCAGCATTGGATGGGGCTGCAAGTTTGATTAAAGATGCATGCGGCGATATGCAGGCCCTCACCCTGTCGCGAACCTCGGGGTGGCTTCCAACAAGTGTAAACCAGGTGGCGCTATGACAATGACATCATAGTAGCATGCACATGTCTTCAGTGTGGGACTGTCATCAAACATGTGAAGTTTGAGGAAGATTGGACAAAGTATATTATACTTATAGCAACTTCCTGTTTCATGGCAAAAATTCAAAATTCGCCACACCGCCAGAGCCACGCTGTTCAACGAAAACTCACAATTTTCACAGTGAAGCATCATCAATGTGTTAAGTATCATCTGACCAGGTTTGAGGAAGATTAAACAATGTATTATAGAGTTACAACCTCTTTTTTCAAACTGTCCATCCTGAGTCTTATAGAAGCATGAACGCTAAATCAGGTGAAAACACTTTTAATATGTCAAAAAAGAGAAAGTCACCAATGCAACCATGTGCTCAGTTTCCTTGTCACAAAATACCTGCTGTGCCTGTAGTCTAAATGTGGTGGAATCGCATTTACAAGTTTAAAGATAACTCGCTGATAGACAAAGATACAGCGTGAGCAGATGAAGGAATGAAAAGCAGGCAGCTAGAATAATAAAAAAAAAAATACCAGGTATGAGTCAAAAACTGGGTCAGAAAGTATTAGATAATATGACCAAACCTGCTTTTGTTTTATTTGTTTAGCATTTCTCAGTAACTTACTGAATTACTAATTAATTATTAATTAAAAGTTTTTAGTTTAGGGAGGTTTTGTCGAGCTTCAAGCTTTACACTGACATGGGCAAACATTCACATCCCTCCGACCTGCTGACGTGTCACCTCGCGATGTTAAAAACAAACATGCTTAGATCCATGTTAAGACCTTTAAGACTGATCAGATTTAAAGAAAAGAAGAAGAAAAGAAACATCCATCTCCATAGCATGAAATCACTGTCTGTTCTATTGAGCAACATGTAGCCCCCTTCACTGACAATGCTGTTTAAGCTCAGCGTTGTTTGCAGTGAGACAAGCTGGTCAAACAGTAATGAGCTGTCGTGGCTTGTCGGGTCAGTCCTCTGAAAAGGCCTCGCACGGGACCATCTGGCCTCTGCTGTGGAGGCTGACAGCAGCTGAAAGAGCCATGTGAGAATATGACTGATGGATCTCCGCCCATGCAATCTCAATGTGCCAGGAAAACGCCGCTCAAAGTGTGAAAAATGTCCACCGACACAGTCTTTTCCTGGATCAGGTGGCGGGGCAGTGGGAAAATGGGAAGTGGCCTCTTGGCTGCTTGTGCTGTTTTTAGATAGTCATCTGTAAAGGAACCTGCAGGTGGGATTCCCATTAATTTGTGTGCATATACACTCTGTGTGTGTATTATCAAGTCACCACAGCCTGTTTGTATCGGGGAAATGATTTGTTTACAGGATACAGAAGAGTCGGACGTTCTTCAAAGTGCACCGGACAGCTGAATCAGGAAAGGAAGTGTGACACAGCTGAGGAGACAAACAGATTCACATTCACACACCCAACCTGTGTGGCCAAAACCAACAAAGCAGCAGCAGCAGCAGCAGCAGCAGCAGCAGCAGCAGCAGCAGCAGCAGCATCGCTCTCTGCTTTATTAGAACTCCCCGTGCCTGCAGCCCAATATCAATTAAAGTAACGTCACTCTGTAGACCCCAAGATGGCCTGTGGGAGTGCAACAGCATTTTATTAAATCCACTACTCAGCGGCAGTGAAGCTACAGTTAGACTCTGATACTCATCTGTCAAGCTCAAGTACATGAAAACAACAGGAGCCATGTGTTCACGAATGGGAACAAGAGTATTTTCACACCACTGCAACCGCTGATGCTCATGTGTCTCTTGCACGACCCTGATGTAAATCTGTACCATCTGACCGCAGCTGTTAAGAGCCAGCAGGTGACCGACCTCGCAGCTCAAAAGGCAGATGATGTGTCCCTGTCGACAGTCCATGATATTAGTTAGCGTTGCGATGCGTGCCCGAGCCTCCGGCTGCAGGCCGGCTTTGTGTCAGTGCTGGGATATCGGAGCTGGTTGAGCCTGGTTCTGTGCAGCCCAGCTCTGCACGTGCTGCAGTTCAGCTCATGGCGATTTGGTAGGTTAAACTGCAGATGGTGCAAACCACTGTGGGCTACCAGACCAAACTGCTGCGTCCTACTCCAGCCAAGTGTCTGCCTCAGCGGGACACCAGCCAAGCTATTTAGTCTGTCTAGTTGTTGGAGGAGGTTTTTAGGAAGAAGCCACATGAGTGGAACAATTAAGAGCAACATCAGCTCATGACTGTGGTCGCCATTTCTGTAGAGACAAAAAACGCTCTGCTGTCGGGTGAACACACACTTTCTCCCTAATGTCAACTTTTCAGGATCTCTTGATGAGCGTTATTAAAGAATTTACTCAGCCTGTAGAGGTGGAGCTTCGACTGAAATGAAACTGTAGCATTTTTAAGTTCATTGATGATTTTTCTCCAAAATGAGAACTGATACTTGAGCTCAGTTTACTGCTCACTCTTGATCACTTTTGAGGGTAATCTCCCATTGCAGAGCTTTATTTTAATAGTGTTTCAGATTCTGGTACTGATAAACAAGTACTTCTTCTAAAAATGTGTTACAGGCATCATTCTTCCTCTTCATGTCTCTTTCACACGCAGTCCTTTCATCATATACCTCCTCCTTACTTGCTCTATGACAAATTACATTTCTTATATTCACAGCTAATTAACATTGAGATTTGGATCAGAAATCATTATGTTCTCCTCTATACAGATGAAGTGCTCAGGACGATCAAAATTTTCTTCAATTGTCAGATATTACAGCAAAAGATATTAACTCACCTGTTTGTTTGTGCCGTGGCCACAGCAGGTAGAATCACAATGATCTCACATGTTGTTTCTGTTGTTTCTTCACACATCAAGCATTAATGCATTTTAAATGTTGTGTCTGCTCACAATATTTACTCTTAATGAAATGTATGCTTTAAAAACCTAATGAGTAAAGTCATTTAAGTCATGTCAGTGCACTGGGTTAAAAGTAACCTAATTTGGGTTATTTTGGCAAATATTTAGGTCAGAAAGGGACTGACCCAGCACTGGGTTTGACCCAGCATGTTGGGTTATGTTCCCTTACCAAAAATGAGTTAAAATGACTATGCTATTGAATTAAAGCTACAAAAAAGTGGGTTGAAAAAAAACAAATTCATGCCCTAACCCTAACCCCATCATGCTGGATCACTATATCTAACTACTACATGTTAGATTAAACCTGGCCAGCCTGTAACCCAGCAGCCTGAACCCGGCAGTTGGGTTCTTACAATAACCTAGCAGTTTCTAGTGTATGAACAAAGCTGCGTTCAGAGTGGCAGATCCCCGCATCTGAGCCTCCGTGTAAGTCAGAAAAAACGACACACACGACACATTTCTTTTTAATAAAAGTGGTTTTGAACTTTAATTTCCTGGTTGCTTCATACATCATGTTTGTACAGTTTCATTCTCTTCAACAAAAAACTAAAGTTTCTGTCTGACTGTTAGAGTTAAACGTTTCTTCTTGATCGTGTTGCCAGTTTTGTGCTGGAAGCCACTGCAGTTCCAGTGAGAAACACAGAGGAGAGATTGCTTACATTAGTGGTCCCAGTTCACTGTAACGACAGGATTTTATCTACTGGATTAGATCAGCAGCACACAACACTGACAGAGGAGAAAAAACACACATTTAAACATCAAAAAACCTACATATACTTTACACACACACTCATATATACACACACACACACACACGCACGCACGCGCACACGCACGGCCACAGTTGCTCAGCTATTTTGATTGAGAACAACCACACACTAACACCACGAACCAACAGACACCAAAGTAACATTACTTACAGTACAAAAATCAAAAAATATCTCAAAATATACAATTATTATTTACAGCTCAAGTATACTCCCTGTCACTCTCACTATAGATACTCAGTGTGAATTTATCAGAATGTACATCAATATGTACAGATTAAATACATCGTCTTAAATACTATAAATATAACTATGTTTTGGTCACATAAAGACTATTTGCACAATTAAATAAATACACTATTACTCTACTTTTGTTGAGTTAATCTCAGCAACTGAACTGAGTTAAGCTCTAGAAGTTGCTTTGTAGTACGTGATGCAACACAGCCGACACATGGACCAGACAAAAAGACCCTGGAGTTGGAGTCTTTGTTTCCAATAATAAATATGAAATATCAATACTAAATGTCAATACCTTATTAGTAGCAAACAAATTTCAACCAATATGAGAGGATGTTTTTCCACAGAGTATTTCAACAGCTTGGAAGTGTTTTTAGACATAGAGGCCAGACCTGCTGTGCCTGGTGTGGAAATAGGGGATGTATAACTCCTACCTATAGCTCTGAACGCTACCATTGCTAAAGGAAAGTACAAACCGGTGCGCTGTGATGTTGCTCTCTTTGTGTGAGATCCACCACCATCAGTATTAGCTGGAGTCGGTCATCTATGCTGTATATCTCTGTACTGTGCAGATCGGTCTGTAGCTACAGAAGGAGAAACTGGTGGTGCAGTTGAGCTTCCTGTGAAGTGCAGTGCATTTCAGAGCGCAGCTTTTATCCTCCAGCCACCTCTCGGAGGATGCAGGAATCAGACCATAACTAAGGTGATCTACAAGTTTCTGACTCACAGTATTTTGAGCTCATTGACTGGTGAAATTCACTGCTACTAAGACATGAAACTCCATTGTGCTCATGTTCCTGTGCTTCGCTAAATGTGCTTTAACTCCAGGCCAAAAACAAAAAAACAAAAAAACAAAAAACATCTGATATATTATCACAGAAGATCTGTAAGTCTATGCTACATTTTAGCAACTGAAGACATTAATAATGTCTACATGCTCATTTGTAACGTCTTGTTCAAAAGGGAGAGCAGCCACTTTTCCCCTGATTCGGAGGCTAATGTGGCCAGAGCGCTTCCTTTTTCTTCTGTTATGTTTTCACAGTGGTTCATTTCCTTATAGCGCTAATGCTTTTATTATTATGATCATTAATACAAAATATGTGACGACACAATGTTAAAGAACATACAATCTATAAAAGACAGTGGAAAAAATAGACGCTATACGTGCTTTTATGGTCGATCAGTAATGAATTCTATTATCTCACCATCACTTTAGTTTATACCCAGCTATATATCACAGCCACATGTTAGAAGCCACATATTACAGCACATAGTGACGGGGCAGCACTGCATCAGTCAACACTGGTATGAAAACAAGGCCAAGAAATTTAAAATCATAAGAAGCCGGATTAAAATGCAATAAAAGTTGTGTGCAAAGACAAATATTTTCTGTGATAACATAGATAGTTTTTGTGAAACATCATTCGTCTTGTGCCTTTCATTTGCATTTAGCCCTTCTACTCTCTCTCTCTCTCTCTCTCTCCCTCCATGTACATACATATATATATATATATATATACATATACACCGTATGTGACAGCATTCTTATGATTCATGTTTAAACTCCACAAAGCTTTTGTGAGCCGTGTGCTTTACAAACAACTCCAGGGTCATTAATCTAATTAAAGTGCTCAAGTGAATGAGAAGAGACGTTGGTCCAAACTAGACATGAACACATAAACACACGACATTATTAAGGAAACAAAATGACAAACCAATAAGGCAAAACAGACAACAGAGACGCTGTTCAGGCACCAAAACAATGTGACTGACTACGCTTCACACTACATCTGTTCAGTCTCAAGTATTGGTGTTGTCTCAGCAGGGAGGGGCCACACGTCACTGTCTCCTCCGCTGACGAGCAGAGACACCCGGTGGTGAAAATCATGTATTACCACTTATTCCACACAGTTAAATCATGGTACGTTTCCCACATTATATACCCCTAAACATACACCGCCATACGATATTATACATAAAAAATAAAAAGGCTTTAGTTTCCACGCCTTGGTTCACAAAAAGACATCAAAGTGTGGACTGAAGTGCTTATGAAATGATGTCCATAGTGGTCACAATTTGAGGAATGTACAACAATTAACCCTAAACATTATCCTGTCACTCAGGGATGAGGTATGATTCATCCACAGCGCAGCATGGCAGTGAACCTCTTACTCGACGCGCTGAGACAACATCAGAGAGATATCCTTGTGGGACATTGACGGTAAAATGTCTCATCTCCGTATTGGTGAACAAACGGCCGTGCAGGTGCAGCAGACAAAGCGAGGTGTCCACTGTCCTCTTCCTCCTCCACATCAGAAGAGGATCCGTATCTATGGTGCGTTGCCACGGCTTCCCCTGGGTAACATGGCTCTATTTTTAAACAGGCTGGGTCACCGTGAGCTCTCATTCAGGGGCAGACGGCAAACACACTGTGAGCGCTTGTGCGCTCGCACATGCACATCTGCACGTACACAACGACAAAACTCACATTACCCATCCCTTCTCTGTCTGCCTCCCTAGCACAGAGACAGACGAGCGTCAAAAACAAGCCACTCTGCTTATCTGTGCTCGTGCACCGCCACCTCTGCCCTTCTAAGGCCATTGATTAAAATGGAACCGCTTGATTAAAATGATTGATTAAAATGGAAAAGCTTTGTCTAGGCCAGCTGCGACTGGAACAGCACAAGAGACGATGTGTACAGCGTTGTTGGCGACAACTCCGGAGCCTTGTTTTTATCGAGGAGAAGATTGTTTAAAAGAAAAGTGCTGCTCTGTGTTAAGGCTCGGAGATTTTCTAACGATAGCCGGCGTCTGTGCTTCAGTGTTCGTGGAGAAGTGATGAAGAGGCAAAAAGTTTTTCCCTCGATTTGCACTACTGCAGTGTATATACACGATTTACGGTGACATCTCAGACTATTGCACAACACATATGTATAGTATTCTACATCCGTGGGAGCAATGAGGATAGAAGGAGATCCACAGTTTAATGAGGATCCTACTTTTACTGCTTATTATTGCTGATGCATGATAGGCACAAGAAACTTAAAGATATAATGTGCTTGTAACACTGTACACTATCATAATCACTTATTACATACTGTTATGGATGAAGTTGTAATCGAGTTTTGTTACACACTGTAGATGAGCAATGTTCTCATACAGTGATACAGTGATTTTTATTTTTTTTTCTGAGTCTCCTTCCATCCTGTGCCCACAAGTAACAATCCTCAACTGAACAAGAGTAAGATGACGATCTCCTAGAGCTAGGAACATCCAGCTGTCTCAAAAATAACCTTCTCCAGACTCGTAAACACATGGGATTACATTTCAGTACGACATTAATCATTTTGGCATTGCACACACCTTAACTTCAAAGAGCTTATTACAAAAGCAAAGCCTGTATCTAAGCCCACACTGGACCTTCCTAAGCTTCATTCCTTCCTCTCTTGCCCTCTCCGTCCCTCTCTTTCTGCCTCTGTAATACCTTGACAGATGGAAAAGCCGGTTAAATAAGGTGAGACTCACATTCCCATGATCCCTTCACCTCAGCTGGGATTGACAGTCGGTTAACAGCACGGATCCTATGACGGGGAAGACGGGGAAGGACCACGGGCGGGGAGCGATGGAGCAGAGAAGGGGGGATAGAGGGATTCAGCTCTGGGGGTTAAGGTGTGATGAACGCTGCAACAATCGGCAGTGAATTTTCTCTCCCTCTTGACTTCTGTTCCTCCCTTTCTTCCTCTGTCTCCCTCTCTCCAAGCTGGGCCGGGGTTTAATGGACGGGAGGATCTGTGAGCTCAGTGGATCATAGCTCGGACTCGGGCGAGCCGATGTTCTGGTAGCCCGTCTTGGTGCTGGTGCCGTAGTTGGTGTTGGTCATCTCCTGAGTGCCGCCGGGGCCCAGGTAAGCGCGGTGGGCGGGCATCGGGGAGGGAGCCTCGCTGGGGTTCTTGCTGAGGATGAAGCGCTGCTCGTCCTGCTCTTCCAGGTTGGAGATGTCCTTCATCATGCCTTTGCGGTAGGAGACGGACAGCTTGTTGGAGCCGTCTGAGATCAGGTTGAAGTGGCGGACGATGAAGACGATGGGCAAAGGCAGCATGGCCGCAACAATGAGGGCGTAAGCCATGGTCAAAGCCCAGGGAGGGTATTTCTCGAAATGCTCTAAGCCCTAGCAGGGGGAAGGGGGGAGGAGGAGGAGGGAGACAAAGAGGTGTGAAAAAGAGAGACAAGAAGCGAGGAGTCAACACGCTCATAGACGGGAGAAGCTGAACACCGACCTCGGCCTCCACCCAGGCGTTGTATCCCGCGGGACTGACCGCCATCTCGATGACGGTGGCGATGATGAGCACCACCAGGACAGCTGGAGACACGTACCTCCACATGTAGTAATAGAAGGAAAACGGCCTGAAACCAAGCATGTCCTCCAGATCCTGCATGAACCTGTGATGGAAGAATACAAGTCATCATCAGAACGCGTCTCTATAAACTTCTCACATGTTGACGTGTCAAGAGCACGAAACACGGGAATGACGGCTGAGTTCCATTTAGCTGCTTCAGTTCCTGGCTTACTGGGACACTCGAGTAGCACAGAGCCATTGATGGGGTTATCACTAACACCTGTGCTTTTCTTACTAAGTCAATATGTCGGCTGTGAAAAAAGGCCTTTTGTTTGTTGTTCTGTAAAAACAATATCTGGAAGAAAAAAAATGCGAGCAATTCTGTCAACATCTGTATTTACATGGCTTTGAGACAATTGCTCTGTGGCCAGTGTTCTGGTAGCTTTTGGAAGGTTTTAGTTTGTAACTCACAGTGATACACAATAAACATGAACATATTTCTCTGTGTGTAGTTGTAATGAAAGTGCTGACAGGTCACTACCATTTATATAAAAGAGAAATATTTATAAATAACTAATATGAGGTGCAGCTCATAAATAATGAGACTAATGATGGTGCGACTTGCATAAGCCCAGTCTCGTTATTTAATGGCCACGCCTCATATTATTTCATTTGCTAATTATAAGCAGTATAGGTTCATCCTCAGACAGTTCCTGCTTCTAATTGGTTAATATACAGAACAAGTGATCTGTGCTTGTCAGATTGATGCAGCTGGAGTCAAAGACTGTGTGTACACTTTCAAACACATTCTTTGTTTCTGGAGCTTAATCCGACATAACCAGTGCCACAGTGACAATGTAATTTGGTATTTAGACTTCGCGGTTGAGTTTTTCAAGTACAGTTTTTGACACATTTTCAACACCACAAACCAAATAAAAACCAAATGCCTCTGTGCTGACATGAGCAACACCCACTATCCACAAAACTCTGCACGCGGAAATTTAATTAGGCAGACTCTGGGTGAGAAGAAAAATTATTTTGATTTGTGGTGAATGAAGGAGGAAGCGATTATGATGTGATAAGCCACCTGGCTAGTTTTGAAACAGATCACAGAGCTCTCTTTACAAATCAGACATTGCAAATGTCTCCTGGTACAAAACGTGTTGCCCGAAAATCAGTTACATCCAAATATGGATCCACATCCAGCCGTGTTACCTCTTAGTGCCGTAGATCCAGGCTACAGAGATGTTCTCCAGGATCACCACCACAGTGAGAGGCAAACCAGCTGAGTAATCATCAAACATGGTGACAAAGTAGTTCCCTGAACGCTGCACAAACAGCAGGCCCAACAGGAAGGCAATGACACAGCAAACCACTGAGGGAGAGGAGGACGAAACAGTCAGAATCAGAAACACTTCAATTTGATCTGAATAACCAGAATCAAGACTCACCGCACAGGATCTCCTTGCGGATCTTGAAAGCGTCCAGTATGGGTGTGGTGATGCCTGTCATGGTGCCGATCATGCTTCCTAACCCCAAATTGATGAGCATGAAGAAGAACATGACGGACCAGAAGGGACTGGCAGGGAAATGTGTCATGGCCTCCGTGAAGGCGATGAAGGCCAAACCAGTGCCCTGAACCGCCTGAATGATGGAGAGGAGGAAGGGAAGAGAAGAAAAATCATCCCATGTGGAAAATCACCCGCTTAACTTCCATCTCTAGGATCATTAATTCTCGTACATTTAAGGTGGCGAGCTCATACAAACGTACTCTGAGTGTGATAGTGCATTACACTTATATCAACATCACAAAAATAAGAGAAGCATGAACGATGATCTGCAAACTAAACTAAAAACTAAAACACGATGGACAAACCGTGTTTGACTTGGAGTTGTGAGCATATCAACATAAATTGGAACTGAAGAAGTTAATGGACACACAAATGACACGAGGCAAAAATCACATTTTAGCTGGACGGCTCAAAACTGGCAGACCAATGCAGCTGGTGACAAGGGGTTGCAAAAAGACAATTGCTTCGGTTTTAGGGGTGTCAGTCCAAAACATCTGGGAAAGAAGATGCCAACAAGGCAACGTCAAAAAGCACGTGTTGTAGAAATGACCCAGTCGCCCGAATATTAATTTATTAACAAAATATCCATTGAATGTTACAGACAGCAAAGAGGAAAGTGAAACTCAACAAGCTGTTATACGATGGCCAGGTGTGTTAAAATGGTACCACTTTACAATAAGACGACCCTTATAAAGGATTTATAAATGGTTTATAATTAGTTCATTAATTCAGTTGTTAACCCTTTATAAATCTTAAATAAACAATTATAAACAAGTTATAACAGTTTTCATACATTGATGCAGGTTCACTATTTGGCAAGATCAAGTTAATGCTTACTACTCATTAATCCTACTATTTAGTTACTACCATTTATAACTGGTAAAAGGAGCCTTATAGTAACTCATTAATAAATGGTGATGTGTTTTACATTTTACAATAAGACTCCCTTTTATCAGTTATGAATGGTTGTAACTACCTGCAATGCTAAAGTCCTAAAGAAGATACCAACCAGAAAAATATATCCATTATAATATCCACTGTGCAGAACAGTCTGACAGCATGAATTATAATATATATATACTGTATATATATATATAAACTATAATTTATACAAATATGTGATGAAGCAGCAGCTACAAACGCTGGATGATGGAGAAAACAAAGAACGCTCAGTAACTAATGAGATGAGGCTGAACAGTACAGATACATGCTGGCTCACTATTTGGCGCTGGACAGGAAAATGTCAAGTGCGTCGGTCTGAAACTAGCAAAGACACTTGCGTTGCACTTTGTGCCGGGTGTAAGATAGGGCCCTAACTCTCACTGGTGAAACTAACCTAACCATGGGTCAAACTGACGACAGACAAATGGTTGATAATTTGAAAACTAAGCTTCTAATTTTGTTTAATATGTGTGATAATAGGTGTCCAGATATTGAAAATAATAGTCCTGCAGAGAAAACACTATTCTGCCTCTTCTAATGGTGCTCTCCACCTTAAATGTTATTTTTCATATAGTAGGAACGCTTCCCTCGTATTATCACTTCCACATGAACTGCTTCTTGACATCCCGATCGTTGTTCGCATATTTCTGAATACACACGTAAAGAATCACACTCTCACCTCAGCCTTTAAAGTCTCGCCCACTGACCTTGTTGAGTTCGTCCTCCAGCACGCAGGCATCCAGGCCAAGCTGGTCGAAGCTGTCCTCCTTTACCGCCTTAATGACGCCGTACATCTCCGCGTAGTCCTGGGTGGACAGGTGGGAGAAGTTGATGTGAGGAGGGATGAGCTCTTTGCTCAGCACACCAGTGCTCAGGAAGCCCAGGATCTTCTCTGCGTTCCTGCACCCGAAAATGTGAAGATGTGGAGAAAATGGACGTGTTAATGAGCAGAGATTAAAGTGAAAAGGACAGGTGAGGTAGCAGGTAGCGGTGGTTAGAGTCCGACAAACTCACTCGACGACACACTTCTCGTTCATAACATTCGCCTTGAACCCCAGCACGGCAAACACCACTAAAGTGGCCAAGATGGAGGTGACAAAGTTGATGATGGAGACCAGCGCTGCATCGAAGTGGCAGTTGTTGTCTCGCTTGTTGTAGCTGGAGAAAGCGATGACTCCTCCAAAGCCCAAACCGAGGGCAAAGAAGACCTGCGTGGCTGCCTCTCTCCACACCTGCGGCTCCAACATCTTTTCCAGCTGGACACAACAATGAAAAAAATCATTAGATCATATGAGAGCCGTCATTTATCCTTGTTAAACACTTGACTGAAGCAATTGTATATAACCCTGAAAGATACATTCAACCTGAAGCTGACAGCATTCTTCTTTCACATTTTGAAGATGTTTTGTTCTTCTCCCTGTAATTCACCATGTCTGGCATCTTTGGAACATTTGAGATTGGGAACAGAATTCAAATGAAGCTCTGCAGATCTGAGCAATGATTGGTCATGCACCATGTATTTGTAATAACAGAACTGTCATGGTTTGCCCTAGAGGACAATTTATTTTTGGACTTTTTAAATTAGCTTGGACTCTTGTTTGGTCATTGTCATTTCCTGTTTTATTTTGAAGTAGATTTCCTTGTGTGTCTCTTGTTGTTTTTACTTTCTGTCTTTGTCCTGTTTCTCTGCCCCGCCCTAATGTGTTTCACCTGTGTTCTATTGCCCTCACCTCCCTTTTCTATTTAAGTCTCTGTCTTCCCCTTTGTCTTTGTCACTTTGTCTGTTTTATTCCTGTTGAGTTTCCCCAGTGTCTCCTGCTGCTGTTCACTTCTCCTGGTTTTTCCTTGTGCTTCTTTTCTTGTTCCTGAGTTTCTGACTACAGTCAGCGGATTTTTCAGATTTTTGTTTCCTTACCAGCGCTTCAGTTCACATCATCTACCTGTAAGTCTGTTTTGTTATTAAATACCTCCTTTGCACCAACCTGCCCTCATGTTTGTCTGCATTTGGTCCAGAAACCCTGAACCCGTGACAAGAACCACATATGTGGGAACTGAACATTGATTAAAGAATTATTCAGTTAAAAGTGTAACTTCTTTAAGCTAGCTTTTTAGATTTCATAATTCATAATGCAGTCGTAACCGACAAATCCAGTTTACCCCTGTTGCAATATACAGTATACTGCATTATCAGACCAGTGATGACGACCTGATGATGAGTTTTGTAAAAGCAATGAATCCATGGATGTGTCTCTTCTTTCCGTTGTTTTCTACCTTCTTCTATCTGTCAGCCGATCGTCCAACCACATAAAGAGCAAATAAAACTGCGCAGTAATTCACAGTTAGTAATGATGCTATTCAGTTTCCTTTTTTTTATATGCAATCACAGACATTCACCACTAGAGGGAGATATCAACCCAAAACCTAACATAATGTGGATATTAATCACATTTTCTAGGAGTGGATCTGAATGGCCTTGGTGGTAAAGTAGCTGAAACCATCAGCCACTCATGGCTGAACAGCTTGCATAGACAAAGTGTCATTTAAATTACATATGTGTCTGGCTAACAGTCTGTGAATGAATGATCGGGACTGAAACAGCAGCAAGCTTGAGACTACTTTTTCCCCTCTAACACACCACTATTACATTTTGGAGAACCACAGCCAACCATCACCTGTTTTCTTTATTCTGTAAATTTCCGCCAGTTGCTGAAATAGCCCTCTGTTAGCTTTGCCTCTTTTGTTGGTCAAAAGCACCAACGTTTTTTCGCCTCACCTTAGGGGTGAACATGTGAGCGATGCCATCCACCGCTCCCTTCATCATCAAACCTCGTACCAGGAAGCAGAAAAGCACCACATACGGGAAGAGAGAGCTGAAGTACATCACCTAAGAGAGAGAGAGAGAGAGAGAGATAGAGAGAGAGAAAGTCAAGTACATCACACAGCGTTGCCATGGACACGCTTTTCTGAGGCCTCACACATGGAGGAGGAACTGCAACAATACATACACACAGACACACACACACACACAATAAATAAATCCCAAACCTGCTTTGTGTTTGCTTGGCACCGAATCTGTGAAGTCTTACCAAATGTGAAGAAGACTCCTTGAGGTTTGGGGAGATGAGTCAAAAATCCTTCATACAGCATTTCGGGGAACCACTGCAGCATGGACTATGATAATTGGATTACTAAATCTAGTGTTTAAAAAACCGTGTCAGACCTTGGCGATCTGCTCTCTGCTGTGTATTTTCCTATTGAAACTGTGGGCTGGATGTTTGCGCTGTGGTTTTCTGACTCACTCTCTGGATCAAGATTACAGGATGTTGTTACATTTGTTGCCAAACGGAGCATTTTCCATCTGCATCCTGAACAAGTCTTTGCTTGGTTCAGTTTAAGCTTATTAATGTTGCATGTCTCTCTCTTCCATAATATAGATGAGATCCAAAAATAGTCAAGTGCTGATGACAGGCTTTAGCATACTGCCTTTGACTGAAAAGCATTAGCAAAGTGAATAAAATACTCACTGATAAGGATGAATCAGTGATTAAAAATATCATTTCAAATCTTTTGATGAAATGATTTATTGTGCACGTCTTTATACAGAATTTAGAGTTAAAGGCACAGAGTTAATCTCTATAGTTTGCAGGCTCAGCCCCTGCTGCAAAGCCATGGAGACCCCGTACCTTCCCAGAGGACTGGATGCCCTTGATGACGGCCATGCAGACCAGGATCCAAGCAACCAGCAGGGACAGGGTCATCTTCCAGTTCAGGCCGCCGGTGTCGTCGATGCTGCTGGTTATGTTGAGAGTCTGCCGGTACCAGAAATAAGTGGTGGCTGAGCTCTTCTCACACTCAGGCACCACGACTACAACAGCAACGAGGAAAGGGAGGGAAACGACATAAACAATTCTGCGACAGTGAAGTCTGCACATATATCAAATAAATGGACACCCAACTTGGTGACAGGTTTTACAGGAAACTTAAAATGTTTCTTTTATCTGTCAGATATACATTTGTAAATACGCAGTGGTGGAAAGTAATCAGAACAAGTAAAAGTAGCAATAAACATGCTCCATAAAGTAAAAGTTTGACCAAATTTGACCAAAATGAAAGTACAAAAACATGACCTGCAACAAGTGCTTTAATGTATCAAAAGAGGCTCCTTTTAGAGGGTTATATTCAATAAATTATTATCATCATTATTATTATTATCATTATTATTATATGTAAGAAATATTTTATATTTGAAGCGGGTCGAGTTGAATAATATCGTAATAAATCATTTTGACGTAATATTGAGTCAGAAATACCTCACTGTCTTGGAATAAGAGAAAAAAATCTCAAAATGCAGTGAGATTATTTCAAGCAGTTTCCAAAACAGATCAATTAAGATCTTTTCAAGTTTTTTGTAAAATGAATGTAATTTCTCTTGATTCAATGCAACAAAATATTTCAAAATAGTGACTCTTGAAATGAATGTTTACTGAAATAATTTCACTGTATTTCAAGATCAGTAATTGACAAAAATGACTTACATGTGGACATGTGAACTGAAAACATCAATCAAAGAATTGATAAATTTATTAGCACAAAATTATATTATTATATTCCAATTAATATTTGTTGGTTCCTGCCAGGTTCCAAACAGGCACTATGAAGTTGTCACTGTTTTCTGACACTTTGTAGACAAAACATTAATAATTAAAATAAGTTGCAGCCCTGATATGGATTATTTTCCAGTGTATGTTTTGAATATGAAGTCATAATCTGCAAAGTAAATGGTAACTATAGCTGTCAGATAATTGTAATAGAGTGTAAAGGACAATAATGTAAAGTAGAATAAAATGGAAATACTCCAGCAACATCATAATTGGTACATTACTTGTGTAAATGTATCCTGTTACTGTATTTTCCACCTCCGCACATAGCTAAACTAAATCCTACTGGACGCTCCACAGCATCCCCACTGCTTTCATAATCATAAGCAGAGCCGACATCCTGCCCTCAAATGCTAATGAAAGCTGATGCCCTTTACTCTGCCAGAGCCTGTGTGCTCCTCCAGCCATTCGCGGTACTGACACCGTTGGCCGGGTCATAATATCTGACAGGCCTCGCCAACACGGTTGCTCTGTAGGATGAGGTGCAGGGGAAATCCCGGCTATGGAGACAGCAAAACCACTTGTCTGTTAGCCTGCAGGGACGCCGCATCTTGACTGCACAGCCACAGCGAAGGAAGCTGCTACAGTGCAAAGACACGTTCTGCAGCTTTAAGCACCGCCCTGCATAGTGTTGGGCTGCCTGTGTGTCTGCATCTGCTGAGATACTTTGCTGAGTATGGAACTATGCAGGGGTCTCTGCAGTATTCATTTTTTTCCTCTACTTGATGTCAAGGGCTTTACAATAAAAAGCTATTTTGTACAGTCTTTTGCTGCACATCTCTCTATTATCCTTTCAGCTGCGTATTGCACAGTGTCTTGTGTTTTGTCGACTCACTGGCTTGGGTTCCATTTCTCTGGATGGGGCACTCAGCCCAAGGCAGTGGATACTGGAAAGACTGGAAGAAATAGAAGATGCTCCAGCCGATAATCACGTTATAATAGAGGCCCACAAAACCGCAAACCTGAGGGGAAATGAGAGAAGACAACAACATGTGTCACTCCTAAAAACAATGACCAATGTACAAAAGGCACAGGGGAGGAACGGCATGCGGTTTACTGAGGTGAACGCCTCTTCTTAAGTCAGGGCACAGACGCTGAGCACACAGCTAAAGTCGGAGAGCGTATGAATTATTGAGCTGTTTGCTCTCAGCGGCTAAGGCTGGGGTCCTCTTTGAGAAGTTATTTATAGCTGCTGATTCTCCCTCTGCCACATCTGAGCTGCCACACGCCTCACTGCCCCAGGTCAGGCCTCTCCCTCCCCTCTTTTACACTAGATTGATGAAATCACTACGAGAATGACTGACAGCGCCCGGTAGATCACTGACTGACCGACTCAGCCTCTCACTGAATATAATTTTAGGCTGATGACCCTGATGGGATGAGGACATGATGGGTCAGTTCTCCTGCTGATGATGGGGACAGATTATGGCAGTGATCAGCACTGGTCTTTGCATGCCACTTGCTGTAGAGCATCAGGAGGAAGTAATATGAGCAGGCAGAGGACGGAGGTCTGCAGCACGGTTGTTGTCTCTGCACATAACATGTCTAACACTGAGCTGAGATGTGCAAGTTACAGAAGTTACCATCACAAATCCAACAACAATCCCATACCATGGAGTCCTTGGTGTAATATATGTAATATAATGATCAATCAACTGTTTATTAATGTTTACCAGGTCAGCAAAAACCTATTAAGAAGGAATAAAAACATAAAAGCCCATTGGTTCGTGTGTGAGTTTGACTTTACATGTGACAATCTGGCTTTAATTATAACATCTTATTATTACCTGTATGTCATTAATAAAGGATTTTCTATGGCTGGCAATAAAATATCTCAACAACCATGGATGGATTGCCGAAGACATTCATGGTGCCCGGAGGATGAATCCTAATGACTTTGGTGAACCTCTGACTTCTCCTCTGGCGCCACCATGGCATTAGGGGTTTTTGTGAAATGTCTGTTATTGGACGACCGCCAGCAAATACATTTATGTTCCCCAGAGAACTCATTTAACAATCCTTTAACTTTAATTTACCATCTGTTCAAAATTTCAACTTATCAAATACTATGATTTATGACCAAATACAAAAACTAAACACACACTTTGTTTTTACAGCTAATTATCAAATGTTAGCATGCTAACACAGTACTCTACCTACATTATATCAGCCACACAGAGCTGCTAGCATGGCTGTAAATTAAGAGCTGCATCCATTAATCAAGACTTTACTGACAACCTGTACATTAATATATAATTAAGCCATATTGTAAAGTATTTCCACGAACTGGAGGTCGTGATAATGAATCAATGTCGACACTTGCCATCAGGCTGGAAACCCCGATGCCTCCCAGCTGTGGGTAGACGTAGTTCCACACCCCGATGCTGCCGCGCCTGATCCTCTGACCCACCGCCAGCTCCAGGAAGAACAATGGGATGCCAATGAGCAGGAGGAGAATGAAGTAGGGCACCAGGTATGCACCTGAGACAAAGGAGGGTGAAAGGGAAGAAGAGTTACTGCAGAATGTACAGCTACTTTACTTATTTTAATGTTTGAAATCCATGTATAGTGAAGGATAAAATCTTATAACATAAGAAGGGACATTATTAAATTTTCCCTGTTAGGTTCTATTTTTTTTTCCCTACTCTCTTTATCCTCCAGCACTCTTCCTCTTCCCCCTCTTACATTGTCTCTTTCTTTCTCCGTCTTCCTCTTCAACTTCCATTCAACAATTTTGTCAGATCTTTTTTTTTTTTTTTTTTTTTTTTTTTTTTTTTGGAGAAGGGACAATGGAGAGAGAGAGAGAGCACATTCAGTCCTGCTTACGTCAAGACATGAAAGGGCACCATGGTGACAAAACCATTCAAAGCCAGAGAGGATGGGCCCGCAATGATGGACAGCTGGGACGAGCAGACTAAAAACAAATGACTGTGACGTTTGACTCGATCAAAAACACCGATAACGTTGTGAGTGGCTATTAGAGCTAGCAGCAGACAAAGGGAACAAAGACAGGAACACAGTGTCATGTTACACAGTGGTATTATTATCTGGATCGTTAGAAGTGACTACTGTGCTGCTGCCTACTTTTACAGATCTCTGGTGTCTATTCTGAGCAAACACACTGAGCAAAGGAAAACCAAATGTATTAGTGGGAAACTGTTACTTCGCTGTATTGTTTTCTCTTTCCAAATATTGTATACGAGCCATCCTGGTGGAGAATCTTTATATCAATCTATCAGTCAATCAAACTTTATTTGTATAGCACTTTTCACACAGGTTAGTGCAGTTCAAAGTGCTTCACAGAGGACGGATGAGCTGAAAAGAAAAGGACAAATGCAGTAATCCATAAAATAGAGTTGAAAAGCTATAATAACATCAGCAAACAAGAAAAACACAAGAAAATTAATAATAAAAGAACAGATAAACTAGAATTAAATATAATTAATTACAATTTAGAAGATAATTACCATGAAATAAGTGATTTTGCCCCACTGGCAAATAGGTTGATAGGTTTCGAAGGTTAAAAACATTCTTGATTGAAGTATATACAGTATATATGGCATGACCATGGCGATATCACTCCAGAACACATTACATTTCAGGGTCTCATCTCAGAGTCAAGGATATGGATCTTCAGGACCGGCATAATGAGATCTATGATAACTCCGCACATTAACTTTAGCCTGTTTAAGATTTTCTTTTTCACAAATATATTTTTGGTAAGTCTTCTGTACAGAGTGGGGGGGGGGGGGGGGGTGATGATTCTGAAACCGAGACCAAAACTGCAATACAAATGTCCATGACCTCTGCATGTTGTTCTATCCAACACTTGGTCATCATAAATTCATGGAAAAACAATTATGCCACTAGTGGTTTACTTGGGGCTTTTGTTTGGTCTGGACTGTTGTAGCATGCAGTGAAGACAAATGTTAACAGACTGAAAGCGGGTTCCACCAGGAGACACAAACAAGATAATACAAATTAATTAAGTTCAATTATTTATCTGTAAGACAAAATAATTTAGAGTAATTGTTTGTGAGTGCCACTGCTTAACAGAGGGAGGCTTGGGAACATGTTGTTTTGTGTTCGAAAGAACTATATTATTATCACATACATACATCCTCGATATATGATATACGTTTAGAATATATATGAAATATCCACAGTAAAATGTGTATATGTACATACATTAAAACATATTTATATGATTCATTTTTATATGGTATGACATGTTGTGACAATATATGTTAATGATATATATTTAATTTTTATGTGCAAGTTTTTTAACACAACACATATAAAAAATCTTTATACATTTAAATATTGTCTTATGAATTTCTCATTAATTTTAAACATGTCTATCTTCCCATTCTGGGAAAGTGGTCTCAGATTTTTGGACCCTACTGTTTATAATATCAACATATATTGACAGGCTTTGGGCTGGATATAAATTTATGTAACATGTCTACATTATACAGTACATAAACATACATATTATTATGTGCTAGACATATATGTCAATATATGAAATTGTTTTGGGATGAATTATTGTTAGTTTTCTTTGAGACTTGCCTGTAAAATAAAAAGGAATGAAACTAACATTTGCTTGTCTCGAAACAATGAGGGAGAGAGAGAGAGAGCGAGAGAGAAAGAGAGAGAGAGAGACAAAGATGGACAAGAGACAAGCCCAGACAAGACAATACAACACCCACCACTGAGTCAGTGCCTGATACACACTCACTACTGCACACAAGTACATGTACACACTCTGATTAAAAAACATTTTAGCTTTGTTATATCATGCATTTCAAATACCCTCTTTACACACACCTCCCACACAAGGTAGAACCAACAATATCTGAAAGCCCTACAAAATCAGTATTTACTCTTCCACTTCCTCCATCTCAGTCATCACTGCCCTCTCATCTCGTTTCAATGCCAGCAAATCACAATACCGAAGAGATAAGGCTGAGAAACCTGCAAGAGATGCAAATAAAGGCCAAACTGTAGGATCTCTCTGGATTATACCAGACCTCTCAGCGGTGCCACGTCTTGCTGAGGAGAAATTTCCTCATCTTGTAGCTGCTGACGGCACAAGTTCACTAAGAGATGTAGAAGAGACTGCCCCTCTGACTTGCACGATTAGTCGGCTAATTGGCTGACAGGTCTCAATTTATCAAAGAGGAGAAGGCTGCAGTCAACAGGCGAACGGAGGAAGACTTTTAAATAGAAAGAGAAAATTCAAGCTCAGAGATATCAAAAATGACATGTAAAAATTTATTTTCAGTGCAATTAACTGTTTTCTCTTCTAAGGAAGATAGATCTAAACACTTTAGTGGTTAATTCAGTTTTGATTACAACTGATTACAAACATTGATTTGGATTACCAGAATTTTGTAAAATAATAACATGATATGATCACATTACCATATGATTCCACCAGCAGTCAATAATATCTAATTATTGCCTCAAGTTAGTTATGAGAAGATTGAAACCACTCTGTCTGTGTGATGAATGTAAAGCTGGAGCCAGCAGTTGGCTAGCTCAGCTTAGTATTTACCAAGCAGCAGCCTCCAAGGCTGAAAACTGAAGCCAACACAGAAGTACCAAAAACTGCAGTTCTGAGTCAATCTCCATAGACTCCCATGTTAAAATGCCTGGTACAAATGTCAGTTTTGGTCTCTACGGCTAATTTCCTCCTTCGTGACAACTGTAAGGGGGGTGAATTTTTATATAACTCACTCGTTTAAGTTATATGAAGGCTTAAAGTTCTGTATAATTGAGGGGCGCTTTGAGTGACAGGCGGGTGAGCGTATCCTTGCCACAAGCCGACATGCACCGAAGACTCAACACATGCTCTACACATGCCCCACCTCTTTGCCCATTTCTGGATTAGCCGGGAGTTTGGCGGAGTCAGACACTGCCAAGATGGTGACGGCAGAGCAGCTCACTCTGAGCTTCAAAACCGCTCTTCAGAAACCTGTGGGTGACGTCATGGAGGATACATCCATCTTTATTTACCGTCTATGGTATTTACTCGATGGGAATAAACCTAACAGCAAACAGATTTTCTCTGTCTCACTACACTACACTCTGACTGTCTAAAAAGCAGATGGTAAATGGATCAAAGTAATGATACATCTGTTGAGGTGTGGCAGTTTGTCAAAGCAAAATTTTAGGTGCTTGAAAGTCTCACCTCACTGGTTGGTCCTTGAGTGAAATGTTTAGGCTGCACGCTGGGAAGAGTAACTGGGTTAATGTTGTATCTGTGTTTTAAAACAGTACTTACTGACTTCATCTGGTGCTGAGGATATAAGAGCTGAATTAGCTGAAATTCCTAATGTATTTATTTCTGTAATGTGATGCAAATGAAGGTTTTATGAGATAAGGCAATACAGCATTAAACTTCACAGCAGTCACCCTGACCACTGGTTATTCTCAGTCAAATCATGTCTCAGTAAATCGTTGCCAGGGACAGTTTTGTATCCTGGACAAAAAAAAGGAACCAATCCCTCAAACACAAGAACAAAATCAAAAACGTTACATACCATTAAGTTAACTACTCCCATCTGGCCACTTGTTTTACTGGGGACTTTACAGGACTAATAAAAAGAATTCACATTAACAGCCTTGACTCAGCACAACATTTCTCGTTGTTAACAATTACTCAGCACCCCGAAGGTACACATGTTCACCCTGGGTGGCCTAATTAGGAACTGACTTCCATACCCGAGAAGTGTTACTACGCTTTGCACATTGGTTTACACAAAGCTTTCAGGTTTCTGTGGTTCAGACAGACAGTCAACTGCTAAAATGCAACAAAATCATGAACAGACATCCATTCACCTACCTCCACCGTTCTTCTGGCAAAGGTAGGGAAACCTCCAGACGTTACCCAGACCCACAGAGAAGCCCACCTGGGCCAGAATGTACTCAAGCTTGTTGTTCCAAGCCGGTCGGCCATCCTCAGCGTCTGGGTCGGGAGAGGGCAGCAGGGCCTTTCCTGGAGCAGTCGAGGCAGGACTCAGGCCCATACTCATCTGACTGCTCTTATAGTCCATGGGGTGCTCCAGAGACAGCAGGTCAGCCACAGACTCAGTGACAGGCTCATTGCTGTGCTCCCGCTGGGTCACCTTGGTGTTCTTTGGCATGGCTGCGACACAGGGGCTCCTTCAGAGGGGTGACGGCGGTGGCAACAAGAAGGGGAGAGCGTGAGATGAGGAGATGGAAGAAGCTGGGAAGGTGCCAGGGAAAGAAAGTTGTGCTTTTTTTTCTTAAATCTGTGAAGAGACATAGTTAGAGTCAGACAGGAAATTTAAGTGCATTTTCTACTTAGATGTTATTGTAACAAGACTTTGAATATAAAGACCAAAGTTTTCCTGTAATTGTCTCTCCCTCATCATCTGCATTTGGCAACCTTTTCCCTATGGAAACTAACAACACTGAAAACCTTGACTAACTGAATGTCAGAACATTCAAGCAGGTAGCTCACTATGATAAAAAAAAAAAAAAAAACTAGTTGAAGAACTTTCAGAAAGTTAAAGGGCAGTTGCCATTCCAGCTTTAGCAGTGTAGGCAGGTCACAGTAAATTAGAGCTGCAAATGGTCAATCCATTAATGGACTAGTCCATGGTCAGAGTGCTAATCGTTAGACACTGAATCAGTTTTCAAGCAAAAAAAGTGTTTTTCTGCTCTTTTCTGATTTATATTACTGTAAACTGAATATCTTTGTGTTTTAAACTGTTGGTCAGAGACATCTGAAGCAGCCATTAGTTGCAGCTCTGCAGTAAATCCATCAGCATGCTACTTATTTTGAGCCATAAACTGGCTCTATGTCTGGGAAGAGAGTCAAAAACAAATAATAAACGGCGAAGGTGATGTTGTTTAATGGCGTGTGGAGTATAAAAAATAGTTCTGATGATCGATTAATCATTTCTAGTAAAAGATTCTCAGGTTCCAGCTCTTCAGATGTGAATATTTGCTGGTATTATAACTCGTATATGATGACAATCAAAGTATGTTTAGGTTTTGCAAAGTTAGTTTGACAGAACAAGATTTTGCGTTTTGGGAAACTGTGATGGGCATTTTTTTTTTCTCCTGGTTATTGACAAAATAATCAAATCAATCAATCAATAAAATAACTGTAACCTGCAGCCCTACATAGCATCACAGGAAAACCGTTCAAGAGGCAGACTTGTGACAAGAAACTTTAACCGTTTTGCTTCCTAATCATGTCCGCTGCTTTTCCTGTTGGCCACTTAGTACATACTGTAGCACATAGTATTTTTCAAATGGTGGAAAAACTGCAGCACTTTAGAGCCATGAGTGAGGTATTTCACTAATCTACTTCATTATGGTGAAACGAGACACACAGATTGAATTACAATCCATTTCACAGCAGAGCCCATTATACTAAAGTTGAGTCATGTGAATAGAATGAACAGCAGTGGGCCGTCTGTCCGTGTGACTACTGGTCTCAGGAGAACACAGTGCAATAAAACTGAAGCCTCTAAGCACAGATTTCACCAGTTATTAGTGTCTGTATTGACATTGAAACAGTCCAGTTCTCCTATGCTCCAGAATGAACTGGCTGTCGTCCCTCACAGAGGAAACCTGTCTGGAAACTTAGTCTCTCCAAGTTCTCTGGCATGTGTTAGCTTATCAGAGGCCCTTTGCAAAAACCCACTAATAATCCTGCAATCCTGCGTGTACTGCCTCCCTCCACAGAAACTGGCATAGATCACAATGCAGCACGAGAGCTCCTGCATCAGAAACTCCAGAGGCTCTGAGACTCCTGTATAAATCAGGATTTTACAGGTAGCTGCTGCTATTTGTTTCAGCAGGAGCAAACCACAGGCTAACAGGCTAAAAGATACACAACAATTAAAACAGTACTCCATCGATTTAGTGTTGCATCAAGCATCAGAATGCCTGAAGAACCAGGTGTCTTTTATTCCCCTTTAATATCGCATATGGAATTTGTTGAGTGAAGTAGAACCATAAACGAGCAGACTTTTATGATGTTAGCAGAGAGAGCATTTATTCAGGCCCAGTTGCCCATCTCTTCTATAAAGCACACTGGAGACCTGGTCGTTTTAAATTAAAATGGAAATTTGTCACTTCAAGCATGAAACGCTCAAAATGTCAAGATGCTTGTGTAGGCTGGTGTTTGCAATTACATCAAAACATTGTGAGACGGTTGGCATTTACCATGTATGAACTAATTACCTTAAGGTCAGCTTAACAATGAATGCGCTGCACGGGATGAACGAGATCTGAGTTTTCAGATTGTGTGCAACTCAAGGACAGAGAATAGAAAGCAGAGGTGTTTGATCTGCAGACAAGGCCTCTGATCTGAAAACAGATCTGAAGACAGATGCGGCCGACTGAAGTCAGAGCTGGGCTTTTATTCACAGTGACTTCTCGGGAACGGTTGCCAGCCGGCCGGACTATAAAGCCCACCCAGAAGCCGCACCGGCAGCACGCACATCACATTCCTTAACAGTGGCGACGAGGCCCCTGCAGTCACGACACGCAGCAGCGCTGAGACTGCGAGCTTCAACACAGATCCCAGAACAGCAGTGACCTTTTCCACAGCAGTCTACAACTACACAACACTGAGTCATTACTGAGCACTCTCTGAATGAGGTGTGAGGCAAACAAAAATGAGTTTTTTGGTCAAGTTGCTGAGTTGTTGTTTTGTTTTTTTTTTAAGCTGTGTAAAGTTGGAGCTTTGACTGTACACGATGTTTTACCCTACTTTCCAAATGAACACAAATGTAGGAATAGTTAGTACCAAACTGCCCCCATTACTACTCATGGGTTAAGATGATGGTGGCCTGTTAGACTCACATGGCTGATAGATCTTCACTCTGGCACTCTTAATCATGAGCAGTGGAGGTTTTCAATGTTGATGCAGAAACACACCAGCAACTTCCAGAGTCTCACAGTATGTGCTGTCTCTGGAAGGTGCCATCTTCCAGAGACAGCAGGAATTCACATACAGTACAAGAAACTGTTACAGAATATGACTGAGTAATCAGTCTCTGTCTGAGGGAAACATTGCAAGCGGACACAAGTTATGATACTCTGAAGAAGTGTTGAAGAAAGTATTGTCGTAAAGGAAAAGCTGCTGCACACAGTGAGGTGTGCAAGTGCTGTGGTAACTGACCCCTGTGACAAACACGTGTGTAAACCTTCAGGGAGACAGATGTGTGTTCCTGTAGCTATTTATATATTCCCAAGTCTCCACAGACAGTTTGGTGTTGATGATGTACCAGCACAGGTTCTCTGTCTCTGCTACAAAGAAATGCTCCACTTTTATCTAGTCTGGTTGCTAAGCAATGGCTCTCTTCCTGCAAAATTGAAATCCCATCCCTGCAGCATCAGTGGTCGCCTGCCTCTCCTCTGCCGTCTCAAACGGACATTCATGATACTCCCTGAAGGACAGCTGCAAATAACATGGAGCTGCTGTGACAGGACTGCGGGGGCGGCTGGGTGGGTGGGTGGGTAGATTGTGGCAAAGCTGGAGGTTATAGCCTGTTGTGGGATGTATTGCAGCATCAATCAGGCAGCCATCACAGGCAGAGTAAAATGCAGCTTTTACATCTTAGCCTTTTCTGGAGAGTAGCAAGATGCCATTGTAAAGTATGAGGTCTGGACAGAGGCCACTCAGCTCCCTGCTCACTGGGATTTGATCCTGAACGACACAGATGATTATGACAGTTACACACCAGCACCTGCATGGCCGTGTTCAGACATCCTTCAGACACGTTACACACAGGCCCACGCTCTGTATTCAGCTCCAGGACTGGATATAACCTCTGATGCCTTGTCAAGGTCAAATGAATCACCTGGTAATAGCGATGCTGAGACGCAAACAGCAGCAGCACGAGTCAGCAGGTGATTAGGGTTTCTCATATCCGAGCCAAATTTGGACACACGTCGACAAAGACGGAGGATTAATGAGCGACGCTCACCTTCAATGTCGCGGCGAAATCACCATTTGTCAGGTGATGGGGTGAAAGCTGACGCTGGTTTCTATCAAGTGATTTCAAGAGGGAAGGGGGGAGAGGGGTGTTGGGGGGGGCGGGGGTGCCGCTGGTTATCCGAGCTATTCCCAACTATTATTCGTCACAGACAAGCTAACATGTATTTAAATTGACCATACCGTGAAAATTGCAAGAGTGTCATTCTTACCTGGTGTAGTGCGCAGAGCCGCTTGTAACGTCCAAGTCAGCGTGACGGTGTGAATCCAAAGTGAGCGCACGGTATCTTCATTCAAGGCACCGTGTCCGTGTGCAGCATCTCTGAGAGAGATGCGAAATCACAAAGCCTCCAGTCGCACAGGGCGCATGGTGCGTAAAGTCTGACGCAGGAGCTCAGCGCCTGCCTCAAGTTTGGCCACAGTAATAACGTTAACGCCGACCGATTGTCTCACCTCAGCGCTTTAACGACGGTCTGCATCCGTAGGAGAGCCCCGCTCACACTTCTAGTTTCCACGTGGTTGTGGCTGTGTTGTGGGATAAATCAGCCACCCCCCCACCTCCCCATAGGATGAAGAAATTACTATGGCAAGTCACGACGAAGTCTGACGCAGGTTTGACTCACCCGCTCGTGCGCACGTCAGCAGCTGCCCCAGAAAGAACATCTGCAGTGTTCCCGGGACGATGATAAAAGCATCACACAGGTAGCTTTCATTCAGGTTCATCAAACGAATTGATTGGATACGCTGCTTGTGGAAATGGTGTTTGAAATAGTCTAAATGCTTTCCCAGCAGCCCTAATCATGATAATAACAATAACCATGATAATAATAATAACAACAACAACAACAACAACAACAACAATAATAATAATAACAATGATGAAGATTATTATTATTATTACTATTTGCCACCAGGAACCGACCTATTAATTCATTAAATGTCCCCATATTGTTTTACATTATGGCAGCTGATCTGACACAGTTACAGAGGAGGTGCTTGATGTTAATACCTAATGGACATGTTAGAATTCGCTGTTGTGCCCACAGTGATGTGGACTAAAGTAGGTGTGAAAAGACAGTGCTTCCTAATGGTCATTTCTCAAGTGTAGATAATTTGTGGCACAGTCATTTTTCTCTCTGACACAAGCACTTTATTCTGCCCTTGGCTCTGTCTGCCACTACTACACACTCCATATTTTTTCTGCCTTCCTGGGTGGCCTTTTCTTTTCAGGTATCAGAAGACGTTTGCATGACCTTTTTTTGCATGTAGGTCTGTGTCCGAAAGAGGATGTAGATCATTATCAAGACACCTCAGAGATAAATTGAGGAGTTGTTAGGATAATCCTAGACCTTTAGGGACACTGGGTGAGTTGCAGCTTGCACAGAGGTGTTTCAGAGAACAGCTCACGGCCACATCCTCCCTCTGTCACCAGAACAAGCTTAGAAAGTAAAAATGAGGCTGTTAGAAGATGTGAGTCAAACAAGGACACGGATACTGTTTGAGGGATTAGAGCATTTAGAGCTGGAATGTGCTACTAGTGTGTCAGACACTGATGGATACATGCAGCAGGGACAGACAAACTTCTTAACTATTCGAGCCCAAAGTGTCCAATCTGTCAGCTGCGTGTCAGATTTTCAAAGTGAGGCAGTTCTCTCGTCTGCTCCTGTTCCTACTGTACATCATGTTTCACTCTGTGATGAGTAACTTTTGAAGAAATAAACAGAGACGTTCGTAAGCCTGCTGTATGTGCTAATCCTGTGCACTTCTCTGTTTCCATCACAAGACACACACACACACACACACACACACACACATACACACTCACACGACTAGTACAGGATCAGCCGACAACATGTATGCACAGTATGCTTCCTGTCCCCTTCAATTCACTCATGTGACTCACTTTCCAAGGGCTGACTGCTGGGATCAGTTGCCATGGCAACAACCGATCATATGATGGCTACTCAGCCTGTGAGCATTTTTCTTTCTTTTCCCTCTCTCTCTCTCTTCTCTTCTCTCCCCCCCCCCACCCCCCTCTCTCTCTAGCACCTTCTGGTGTTCTGCAGTACGGCTGTGAATGAGCCACTGAAGTATAGTACAACATCCCTCCACCTTACAAATGGCAACTTATCACAGGGCTTGTTTTCCTTCCTGCGGTTCCTCACCTCTGATGTGTGACTTGACTCCTAAAGATGTAGTTTATCACACCTTTGAATTATGCAGAAGGAGACACAATGTGCTGTGTCTCCTGTCACAGCCAGAATTCTGCTGCAGTATTACTCATCCTAAAGCCTCGTGAATAAGTCACAACTCTCAGAGTGACGCTGTGCATCGTTGAGGCAGGTAACATGGATTAAAAAAAAAAAAGGAATAAATAAAGTCACATTTCATATTGGTGCCACAGGAGGGATTTATCTCACACTGCAATATCAGCACAGCTCTCCATCATTACCACTCTGACCTTATAAATCTTGACCTTGAGCTGGGTGATTTTATTACAGTTCGTCGCACACGGCAGAGAGAGAGGGCAGTTGAACGAGAGGCTTCAGTAAGGCCCTCAGATGCAGCCTTAATATTTCACGTGGTTATATTGGAGCACAGAGTAGAGGGGTAATGGGCCATCGGACTGGGCTGTGATTTACTGAACCTTTTAAGACAGTCTATAAGGGCTTAGCTGGACTTCTAAAGACCCAGTAAATAAAGAGAAGACAGGCACTATCAAATATTGATTTTACTCTGAATGTGAAAACTGACAACAGGTGAGAGATAACATGTTTCCTCACCACACCGCTGAAAGGGATGCAATGTTATTCTTGTGAATGGTGGTGACGGTTATACATTTGATAATACTGTGAGAACTCCCATTCACCACCGCAATCAGTGGGGCACCAGCCTTTTCTCCAATCTCAGGAGAGCCAGGTTGCCAGGTCACAAATTAAACATGCTGACAAACACCGGCGGGCAAAATCTGCTCCATGTCTCGGGGGGTGTTTCTGCGCAGCTGAGACTCATCGGCAGTGACGATTCAACTTCCTCTGTCTGCTCCCCCCCCCTTTGCCTTATAGTCATGGTGCAGTCCCAACTACTTCAATGCACTAACACCTTGCCTACCCCCCTCTGGGTGTGAGACTGCAACCTTTGGAAATAGATGGACAAATGAGGAGGGAGGGATACGTCAGTCAGTCCCCTGATTGACTACGTGCTGCTTTTCTGTCCATGTAGAAGGAGAAAGAGAGGGCTGCAGAGCAACTGTAACTACGCCGGCTCAGGTGTAACCTAAAGCTCTGTCTGTCATGCTGCTGATGCAACAGCACTGAAAAGGCAGCGTTTCACATTTGTTCACAACAAGTAAAAAAAAAAAAAAAAAAAAAAAATCTGTACATCTTTTCGCTGTGTTTCCATCCTGTTATGTTCCAGTATAGAGATTGCTCATTTGGTATTCCTCCCCTGCTGTTTGCCCATTTCCCTTTAATCAGCCATCCCTGCTGTGACAAGAGGCTCATTATCTCTCTGGTAAAGCTTCACTCCTCTTCCCTAGATAAAGAAATATACACAGAAGTCACGACTGCAAGAGGACAAGCACGAGTATCGCCACCACTGATGAATGTGCAGCGCCGACATCGATGGAAGAGATTTGGCCTTGAGGTTGTATAATAAACTTTAAAGTAAGCTGATGATGTATAACGACACCATGGAGAACACATAGACACCAGACAACATTTAGGTTTGATTCATTTGAATTTGAGGCGGTGATTCTGTTGGATGACGACAAAGATGTCTGGTTTTCTCCCAGAAGAATAGGCAATAAAACTGCTGGATAAAAAAAAAAAAAAAATCCACAGTGAGAGTGAATTTAGCTTTTATGAGCTCAGAGAGGTGACCATTGGCCTGTTACCACCAGAAGCAAAAATAGAAGTACTACAAATTCTGCCTCTATACTTCTCATAATTCACCAGGCATTTCATCATTCAGACATCTCAAGAGTCCGCAGAAACTTCTGCTGAATGCCCTCTTGATATTGTCCTCTGTTCCTTCATACTGATTGAATACATGTATCAAAAATGAGAACCTTTACATCGGCTAAATAATGATTGAGCGTTTCTTCACTTACTGATGCAAATGGGGAATGAACGCTGCAAACAACTAATGCCAAATTCCACCATTAGTGCCTTGTGCCCTGTGGTTGCCTATAGCATGTGTGTGTGGGTGTGTGAGGAGAGGGAGGGGGGCTGCTGGAAATGGATCAGACATCCTATCATGTCAGCAGGATTATCACCCCACTGACGGTTCTATTCTCTGTAGAATATGTGATGGAAGTATTGTGCAGTGTGCTTGGAGCTATCATTATGTTATATTATAAAGCAGAAACAAATCTGAATGTTCATTCCCTGGGAGCAAAATCAACAAATTGTGAAATGAAACAAATGTCACAATTGTTCTTGGTAAATGACGGAGCAAGATGTGAGGGTCATATAGAGCATGAAGTGGGTCTGAGAGAGGCTTTGAGTCAGTAGATTGTGGTGCTGTAGTGTGAACACTCGTCCTCCTTGTCCTTCCCTCCAGTATACCAGATGGCTGTTCAGCACCCTGCTGTCCAGGACTGCACAATAAAACAAATAAGTAAACAGTAAAGACTTCCCATTAGTTCACAGATCAATGTGTATTGATCCATATAATGCATAATAAAAACACATTGCAGCAAAACTATTAAGTCAGAGCTGCTGTTCCTCAGTGTTGTGCAAATCCTGTCAATAACAGAACTAATCAGTATGAGTAAATGTTAACTCACACCATTTATTTATTATGATTTTTTTTTTATTATGAAATAGGGATGAATGTAGAACCTTTGATAGCCCATCAGCGCAGTGATATGTGTATCTGTATCTAAACACAATGACATGATACACCAAAAACCGCACAGACCCAGTCAGTGGCCTGTGAAAAGTCCATCACAGAGCGACACTTAGCTCACACCTCATGATGACTAATTCGCAGCGACTGGTGCCAGGAGGGCGCTGCAGCGCTTAAAGAAGCAGAGCATGCACCGTCTTTTATGTAACGACATAAAAGACTGTGAACAAAATGTTTGCACACTGGCTGCTGTGACCCTGTCAGCTGCTTTCCTGTCAAAAATCTGCACTCCCTCGGGGATGATGAGGATGTGTTCACGTGCATTGCGTTGTGTGTGTACATGTGTGTTTGCATGGTTGATGGTAGCCTTACAAACCAAACTCCCTGTGTTTCAACTGTCTCTATCTCTTGGTTAACCAGCCTCGACCGCAGCAGATGCTGCAGTGCAATTAAGAACACTGGATGTAATGAGGTGTTTCTTTGTCATATTTCTCTAAAATCCATGTTACACCTAGAGCGGTTTCACTTCACATCATGTTTTCCGTGATTTCCATAATCATAACCCTCCCCTAATTAAATGCAACTAACACAACATGC